CTACTTAATTAAAACTATATCATTTTCATAGTTCCCAACAATATGAAAAGACCTGGTTGTTAAAAAAAAAAAAAAAGCTCTTTAGTCCTTGATCCCAGTTAACCAGTAAACTACGACAGAAGTCCTGCGTCAACGGTATTCATTTACAAACATTTTTGCTCTGTGTTATTGAGAACCACTCTTCCCAATACTTTGTGAAAGTATTCTGAAATATAGTTTATTGTTTCTATTATATTCCTTCCTTCAAATGTTCACCTGTATTTTCAAAGGACATGCTTTTTGCTTCTTAGCATTAGGTCAGAGAGGAGCTTGTCATTCAGCTCTGCAAAGAGTAAGTCGGTTCTCAAGAAGCACAAAGGCAAAAGTGAGGTGCTTGGGAATGTTAAGGTTAACGAAAAACAAGCAGATCTGTTGACTTTAGTGATTGCAAGGAGGAGACAGCAGCCTCTGGTCTGTCTAAATACCACAAGTGCTTGTGTCCATTCCTGGATTTGGTCCAAAAGATTGGTCTAATGTCATCTAAGAAAGCTAGACCAGAGCCATGTCTCATAAATCTCAAGTCATATCATAAATCAGCATCCTATACTTCTCTTTTGTCTTACATATGGCAGTCTTACTGAGTTAGGAATCAGCTGCATACTATCATTAGTCCTATGCAAGCACAATTTTATATTAGAGATTTACATACAGATTTACTGTCACTCAAAATGTATTTGTTCTAAGTTATGGAAGGCATGTATTATAGGAGTGCTACATGTAAGAGCCGGTAGGCGTAGAAGTACCTGGATTTGCACACGTTAGTAGCTTTGCAGCATTTTCACAATGTGGTTGCCTGACATCCTTGTACTTCATTATCACAGTCATTAATTCCTTTGTTACTGCAGAACAAAGGAAGATAAATATGTTGCCATGACAACAATGAAGCATCTTAATAATTAACAGACTAATTAGCTGTCTTGGAGAAATGCTGTGACTCAGAACAGATACTAGGCGCTATGTAATTAGGACTTTGGCTTACTAGAGCAAAAGCGCTGCTGGTTCCCACAGGGAACAGCCATACAGCCACACTGTTTTACTTAGTGACATCTCGCAACAATCACTACATTCGCTAGAGGATCTTACGCGCAAAAGTTTGAAAATTTGAAAGAAGGTTGGTACCTTCGAAATCATAGATTTGGGGTTTTATATGTTATTGTTACAAGTGTTAACTCAGATCTTCATAAACGCAAGAGAAGTCAAGGAAAAGAGAATTTGTGTATCTGTTTTCACCCAAACTGGAAATGCCATACAGTCAGCTTCACTGTTTCCCCTGCGTAGGCAGTTTTCTCTACTGCGTGTCTATGGCAGGATTTGAACATGATTATCTGGGCATCTCAGTAGTACGGCTGCAGGTGTGAGGAGCACTCAGGAAGGCCTACCTGCGCAGGTTTCATTAGCACAGACAGAAGTAGCAGTAACACAGGTGTCCCTGGACTTCATTATGAGTCAAAGATACTAGAGAGCTAGTGCCGAAATTGCTGCATGCCCAAACATTTATTGTCACTACATTTTGGGTGGAGTTCAGTTCCTTCCCTGTGTTTAGCACACCTACGAGGCTGGTCTTCTCGGAGGACAAAGGCACAAGGACAGCCCTAAAACTCCCTGAGGACAATATTGTACTTTTCTGACTAGTTAGGGCCTCTTGACTCCTCACTCCATTCCAATGTAGACATTGTATACTATGAATTTGGCGAGTTTTAATATTTAAGAGAAAAGAAAATCTTTCAACTTGTCTGTCTGTAAAAAACCAAAGGTAGAATGTGTTATGAGAGGGGTGTATTGTGCATCTAAATTTGAGATCAAAACACCTGGATTTTTTGGAGCTACTTCAAATCTAGACTATGAAGTTCTCCCTCTCCTATTCTTGTATTACAATAGGACTGCTCCCTGCACCTACCAGTACTGGAACAGCCAAAAGGGGAAACCTTCTTGTCTATTATTTAATGGCTGCAGATTACCCTCTTGTATCTCTGCTCAGCTGAACTGCAGTAGTTTTGTGCTTCATGCCTTCTGCAACCACTTCACTTACAGCAAAAATACAAATAATATCTATGAAATGAGTCCTGGTTGCTTTCAAATGGACAATTTGCATTTCTGATTTAAAGAAAGAAACACACAGCTGTGACACCTCTTGTTTTCAGAACACAACACTACAGGGAAACCAAGCAATAAGGCAAGGCTGCACTTGGCATTAATAAGCAATTGATCGCAAAAAGCAGGGGAAATTCTGACAATTAAATTGTTTTTTAATGGCAACTAAGTATGCTCACAGGAGGAGGTAGTGAGCTTTTCCAGTACAGATTGTTGGGTTAGTGAAGTACCAAGGAAATGTGAAAATGTCCAAAAAAATAAACTGGACAGTGTGGTCATAATGGCATCTGCTGATGATTAATTCTATGAAGTTTTTTGACCAATGGTTTTATACTACTGTAAGGCTGTATGGCATACCAGGGCTTTGATTTCAGTCTTAGTAGGAAAGGCACAAATTTCCATTGATGTTCATGAGTCAAGATAAGCCCATAAACACATACACTTATGCAACACTCTATTCAGAATTACAAGGATTTAAACATACTGTTTCTTGCTAGGAGTACAGGAATCAGCTTTCTAAAACACTGCACAGCAGAGTGTAAGAACAGAAGGAAAAAAACGTATCACAGAAAAATGTTGACCAAAACTTTGAAATGTATTGCAGCCAGAACAAAATGTTCCCAGTATGATTGGAGAAGGCAGCCTGTACCTCAGTGTAGCAAATACCAAGCAGGTGTATGTAAAATAGTGTAGGATGGCAAAGCACTATGCTGAAAACCTCCAAATATAGCTCTGTATGGCCTTTTCATGTGCCTTTCACAGTGATCAGTGTGAAGCTTGGTAAATATTTAATTGAAAAAACACCACGGAATGCCTCTAAGAACCAGGAATTACTGATGACAATTCTGCAAGTGATTTTTTTTCTGCCTGACTATACTTTACTCAGGCCCTAGCACAGTGGGCTCAAGCAATGTTGGAACTGTCAGCTTGTTCTGTGAAAGAACCTGAATTCAGTTTTAGCTGCATAGCCCGAAAACAAGGTTATAAATACATGTATTGCCAGGACAATGTGTGTCTCTCAGGCGAAGAAGTTCATTCTGAATGATCATTTCCTCTCAAGGATGTTTTAACACTTGCAAAACATTTGGGGGGGATTATTTTAAAATTATTTTAAAGAGAGGAACCCTTAGTAATTTGGTCTTCTTGTATTTTCTACTTAGTAATAGCCAGGTCTTTTCCCAGAGGTAATCATGGCTCGTTTTGTGTGTGTGTGTGTGTATGTGTGCAGGCACAATTCTTTCAGGAGGCACTTGCCAAGGCAGATGCAAGTGTCCAGTGTTGATTTTAACATGGGGACAGATCCGATTTTGCAAAGGGGAGAGACGACAACCAGCATTGGGAGAATAAAGCCGGAACTCTACAAACAGAAGTCTGTGGATTCTGATGGGCAACAAGAAGATGTGAAAACATGTGGAAAACTTAACTTCACTCTCCGGTATGATTATGAGAATGAACTTCTGGCTGTCACAATTGTCAAAGCCTTAGATCTGCCTGCTAAAGACTTCACAGGAACATCGGACCCCTACGTTAAGATTTATCTGCTTCCAGATAGGAAAAAGAAGTTTCAGACACGAGTTCACAGAAAGACATTAAATCCTGTCTTTGATGAAACCTTTCAGTTTCCTGTAGCCTATGATCAACTCAGCAACAGGAAATTGCATTTCAGTGTTTATGATTTTGACAGATTTTCTAGACATGACATGATTGGGGAAGTTATTCTTGATAACCTTTTTGAAGTCTCAGATCTCTCCAGGGAAGCCAATGTATGGAAAGACATCCACTGTGCCACCACAGTAAGTAATGTGTTCCGAAAGCATTAACATGATATTTTCATTTCTCTTTTGTAGTTTGTGGCAGAGCATCCTGTTTATCAGCAGAGTCTGAAAGAAAAAAAAAAAAGTTGTCAATATTTTCCTTTGAGTATAGAGAATAAGATGCTTAGGAAGCTATAAAACTTAATTACTAGAAAATCTTCTGGGAACATACCATCACCCTTATGGCTCACTGTGCAAATATAAATTAGGTTTATTAATTAAATAGTACATCATGAATATCACTGCTTAACAAGAACAATTAACATTTTCCTGTTAGCAAAATACCCTGTCCTTCAAAATGACCATCTATTAAGGAACAGGGCCCATCCTGCCCTTGTTAGCAAATTTTCATAGGTTGGGAATCTTGTGAAGGAAGAGAGAGAGGCTAAAAATGCTTGAAGTCCAAAATGTTCTTTGCTGGCTGCCCTGTGCTTAGGGTCCCCAGTAGATGTACCTGTGTTGCTGCTGGTTACTAGCAAAACTCAAGAGGCACAAGCAAGTAGACTTAGGAAATAGAAATTATTTGTTTATTGTTGGAAGCAAGAAAAGGAGGCGCCTGCATGAATGACAGGATGGATGACAGGCTACCAGTGGGAAAACCACCAGTCTACAAACATTATCTTTATTAATCTTGAAATCCAAAATCGTCTTCCCTGGTTGAAATTTGAGGGGAAAAAAAATTAAATGGTGGGGTGTGGGGTTTTTTTTTTGTTTGGTTTTGGTTTTTTTAACTACTATGCTATTTATATAGGAGTTTTCCCATCCCTTGTTCTGTGGAGGTATCCAAAACAGTCTGAGCTTTGGCTTTTGGCATGGGCTGGACTTCCACAGCGGGGATGAACAGAGGACAGAGCAGTACTAGACACTGCGTCAGTGACAGAAGCTTCATACCATCCCTTCAATAGAACCAGAGACTTCCCATGCCTCTTTTCCCAAATGTGTTCATGCTGTTCATACCTGCTAGACAGGGAAGTCTAGGTCTGCATGACTAGAAGGACAGAGGACTGGTACTTCCTCACCAGTTTGAGCATGAACACTGTGTTTCCTAAGAAAGGAGAAATATTAGGGAGCGGAGCATAGTGGAGACAGTTTTTAAATGTGAATTCACAAAAACAGCTATTTATTTTAACTGCTGGGTCTACCAAACTGGTCCGAACAGCCTCCGGCACACCTCCAGAAAACTGCATCTGTGTATGCTTGCTTTGATCAAGCTCAGATTTCAGGTACATTTAAGAGCTGTGTTCTCAAGCTTAAAATTGAATCTGTGTTTAAGGTCTTGGAGTAATAGCCCAGTAACAATTTTTTAAATTTCTTCTAGCTTTGATATTATCCTTAATACTTTAGTAATGATTTAAATGCTCACTGGTCCTTCGCAACAGGCGTGCGGGTGAGATATTAGCTGATAACTAGAATGGTTTCAGCAAATTAGAATCCCTGGACTGTTCATCACTGGTTTTGAGCAGATTGAAATGCCAAACCAAATTATGCAGTTGGGGGAGATACTAATATACATCTGGATGAAAATGGTTGCTAATCTTGGCGCTGAATTCTAATTCAAGTTTCTTCCTCACTGAGGGTTAGTACATGCAGTTATAGTGCTTAATTCACTCTGCTGGTGTTTTACTATGTATGACGTTTAAGAGGAAGCATGAAGTTTTTGGATTTCAGGCTTTCAGCCAGTATAGTTTACAGTATTTCGTGTGTATGAATAAGTTGTCTCCACTTAAACCGTTAACAATAAACACATAAAATTGAGATATCTTCTAGTAGTGGGTGACCGCATCAGCTTTCACAAGCCTTACACTATTCTCAGAAAATTATGGAAGAAACTGATTGAATTGATTTTTCCTGGCAAAATGAAACTCTCCTATAAGATGTCCTGTTACTACATGTGCAATGTGCTGCCTTGTGTTTTACTTCAGCTGCTTCATGTAGATTAAAATTGGTTAGTAATAAAGGTTTCTAGTTCTGCCATTTCAGAAACTGTAAGATGAGGGAGCCAATCCTGCACGGGAATAAAAAGTGCATAAGATGTTAATCATTGGGGAATTATATTTAAGCACCAGATCTAAAGTTTACTAAAGTCACTAACTAGCAATTAAATAACTTACTAATGCTTGCCAGAGTCAACTGGACTTGGATTAAGCCTTGAAAAAAAAGATCCAGCTGGTTCTGCAATTAGTGAAAAATAACCGTACTCCAGGCAAGCATGCTTTGGTGTTCATAAGGAATCTTTAAAAAACAAACTGGCTGTCTCAGTGGGAAGGTCCTTACTTACACAGTAGAGCATAGGAACCAAGATGCCATTCTGCAAATATTATTTCTCTCATGCTTTTTCCTTCCTCACCTCTGCTCTGTTTTCTTGTATGTTCTGTGAAGTTTTTCAACCTTTTGTTCAGGCATGCTTCCTACATGCAGTGGTTTGCTCATGCTGTTGCTAAATGATAGATGGTGGAAGATGGTAGAAAATGGTAGAAGTGCTAGATCAAAGGATTGGTCCAAAACTTAAAAAACACAGCAGAAGTAGCCTCTCCTCAGCTTTGAGTCTTTTACATCTCTTCCATAGTCAAGAATTTTCTATTCAGAAGGTAGAGTGAGGGTGAAAACCATTCCTATTACCTGCTTGGAAAGAACCTATTTTTATGACGCAAGGCTCTGCAGTCTCGGAGTTGAACACCTACTAGACAGATTTACCAAGGAAATGAACTGCAACATTTTATCAGTGAAGGAAGTTACCACAGGAGATCGGGAGATTCTCTACTATGCAAAGACTCTCTGTCAGTAGTTAACATCATTTTTAAAAGATTTGCTTGCACATCCATAAAGAGTTTTTATTTGGTACAGGAAATACACAGTCTGGGGAAAATCAGACTGGATGGTTGCACCGAGTCCTTTTGGCTGTAAAACCAATGACTCTGTGGGAATCCACAGTTTTAGGGGTTTTTTTTTTGCTCATAATAGTAATTCGAAACTATTTTATATAAGTGCAGGATTGGCCTCCTCACTTGCTCATTTTTATTCTTATTATTTTCAACTGTTGATATTTATTAATCTTTTGTAGTTTGTATTTTGTTCCTTTAGTTTTTCATTCATATCATTGTTTCTCTGTTATACGTTATGTTGAAAACCTGCAGCTATTGTATAATATGTAGCATGTACCTGTTGTAAGTGCTAAAGCATTTTCATTTCTTAATGTTAAATTATCAAAGTAAATTTGGTGTAAAACTGGTTGTGGAAAAGAAGTATCCTAGATATCTGATGATATTAATATCCCCAAATTTTGCTTATACATGGGTGATTGACTTTTCAATAAATAATCCATCATTTATTTCTGTTTGTTTGAATAATTAAAAAAAAGAAAAACTCAAGAGGCAGCTTTGGACCACCTATGAAGGTTGTTCAGTATATTGGAATACTGTAATTCTTAATACACTTTAGGAAATTAATTCATAACATCAGAGGCAAACAAATAATATCAAATGGATTGTTTAGTAAACATATCTAGCTTCCATTTTTGTGAAGTGCTTGTGATTTTTGCATACATTTCTGAGGTTTTGTTACCATCAAAACATACCGCATACTTTAAAAAAAGAAAACTCATTTATTGGAATTGCTAACAAACACTTAAGTGCAAATATTCAGTGTTGTAAAATCGTTTAGGCAAAAAGACCACCTCTTGTGATCTAACACTTTCTGGATGTAAAAGTTTATTAACTTCCTACCATACTTTTTATACTTTCTAAAATGATTGATTGCTTTGGAAATCTCTGCCTCTAACGTCATTGCCTAAAAACATTGGCAAGTGACTGTCAGAAACATTTTCTTTCCAAAGGTATTCTGTGAACTCTGTTAGTGTAACCAATTGTAGGACACTATGCAACCAGAAAAAAAAAATAATAGGGCTCAGAATTTAGATGAAAGCCATTTCCAGTGCAGTGGTAGTCTCTTGGGGATGTTAGTCATGGAGCTGTCATATATTTGTAGCCTCTTGAATTATGTCATGTAAATGGATGGAACTTCGTTATTATTTAGTTTTCCAACACCAGGCATTTCAGTGCTGCAGTTTTCTCATTTGTGAAGTGGGATATAAAAGAAGGTTTTGTAAGGACACAGGCTTCATGTGACACACATGATGTGTGATTGCTGTTTCTAAAGCACTTGGAATAGCATTGCTGGAAAAGCATTGCTGGAAAAGACAGAAGTGCTTAGATACCTTTTTTTAATAAACAGGACAGTAACATTTGTCTCAATAGGTGTCTCTCAGACACTTGCCAGAGTAGGATGTCACCCAGGTAATCCTGCTAGCTGTTGGCCTCTGTTATGGAAAGAGATTATTCTGACTTCCTGATCAAACAAGAATGAATCCCACCTCTGCAGTTCACCCAAAGCAGTTGCAGGCATTGTCTTTGCTTAGTTTTCTCCATAGTTTGCTATTTTGTGACTGGACAAAAACTGGCACGCTACTCTGAGTAAGGCAACAGTGGTATAGAGCTGACAAAGGTTTGTCTTGCGGTAGTCAAACTTTGAGGCCACATTATAAGGATTGTCCTATTTCTTAGTGTTCAAAGAGCAGCACTATCAGGAAATGCTTTATTACCAGCAACGTAGGGTGCTATGCTCTACAATTAGCCATCCTCATCAGAATGGACTTAGCCTATAGTGATTCTGGAAATGTACATAAAAGCTTTAACACAATGCTAAACCTGTGAAAGAGTAAAGGTTTGTCAATATAGAAACGTTTATCATCTCTATAATGGGAACAGCCCCTTTAAAGCCAAGAATAGCCGGCACTTGTCATTTTTAATCAGGGCCGGTGACATAAAGGATTCACATGATCACCTGCTGCTGAGTACATGAGCGAATACTCTGGGTCGGTCTTTACAGGAAACATGTTGAGGTTTTTCATTTAGATTTGGGATTGCTTTAGTTCTGGGAGATAACTAGAAAAGACGATGGAGAAAGGGTGGGTTTCTGTCCAG